GCGCCATAGCCAGCTGTCCATCTGTTCCTTGCTGCTATTGGGGCTCCCATGTCTCCTTTGAGTATGCATGCATGACGAGCACAGGACTCGAGCACACAACTCATGGTTCTGCAGGCTAACACGTAACCATAAGGCTAAGCGGGTTGGGGTGAAAGTGAAGCCCCACGACGAGAACTTCACCCCACCCCAGCCTTCTCTTCCACTGGGTGTGGAAAGCTGGTAAACAGAAATTAATAAATTAATAAAATTAAAAATTATCAATTCACTATGTATCTGAGTTTTACTGTTTTTGTGAATTTTAATATTTATTGATTTTTCCTGTCTGTTGTTGGGGTTCCCATCTCATCTCCTCTTTGGGGTAGCCGAGCCAACCATGATTTTTCTTTGCATTTGTGGATATCAATGGCTGCTGGTCAACATCAACTTATAATGTGTGTGATTAAAACTTCAAAAGTCATTTTTTAATATTTAATAATTTAATATGTATGCCCAAGGGGTTTCTCCAATCAGGACAGTCTGGAGCAGTCCAGACACAGGTTCGGCTGGATGTCTGGAGTCTGGGCTGGTTCGGTGTCCGGGTCTGGCATAACCATAGGAATTCCCTTTCGGGCACTTCCCTTGCGGGGACTTTCCTTTTAGGGACTTTCCTCTTGGGGACTTCCCTGGTGGGGACTTTCCTGTTCGGGACTCGGAATGAGTGAAAGAAATAGAAATATGTAATGGGGTCTTGAAACTGGTGGGGACTTTCCTGTTCGGGACTCCTAACTGTCCTATACTAACGTTGCGGGCTTTCCTGTTTTGTTAAATATTTCCCAACTACGAGTTTTACTCGTAGTAGGTTTCTCAAATTCTCACCCAACGATGCCAGTCGCCGTTTGCTTCCGTGTCCTCCACACGGACCCCCATGCCAATTCATACTGCCAGTCGTGGGTGTAAATTACTAAATAGTAAATTATAATAAGCCTTTTTTTTTTGGCAAGTTTTTTTTTTTTTTTTTTTAATGGACTTTAAACTTTCCCTTCTGCCAGTTGCGTTTGCTCTAGGCATCTTGCAAAAATGCCGAAGACAGAATCTTTTTTTTTTTTCCTTTCTTTTTCACCTCACTAGACCTCTTAGCAGCGCTGTCACCGGCTTGTTGAAGTTCGGAGCTGGAATGCTGTGCATGGGCCATTGGCACTGCATGTAATGACGTGACAGGATTTGAAGCGGCAGGCTGAATCTGAGGCAGAAGCAGCGTTCCGCAGAGCTCTACAAAATCTGCCAGAGGCAAGAGGAATCGCTTCCCCCTACCCTACCCTCCTCTACCCTCCTCTACCCTACCCTACCCTACCCTACCCTACCCTTCTCTGCATGGCGATGTGTTTGTTTGTTTTTTAACCACAATTGCATCCGAGGCTCTTTTTGCCGAGGCGGAAAAGAACTGCACACCAAGCTTTGCCGAAGCGCCAGCATGACTTTTTTGTTTTTGTTTTGGCCCCCGCCAGCCATTTTGGTCCAGTGGCGCCCGGCCTCCGAAGAATGCGGGTATAATAATAGGTTATCCCGCATTCTTAGGAGGTTTTGAGTGTGCCTGCGAAAGGTGGTGGTGGTTTAAGTAACTGCCGGCCCTTCTGGCAATGTGTTGCGAAAGGTCTCTGGAAGATGTGGCCGCTGCTGTAGCTGTATGCGCCATTTCCCACGACCTCCTCCTGCTTGATGGTGTCTGATGATTGGTCTGATCTGTGATCCAGGTGTGTTGAGTGTTCCTGGTTCATGGTTCTGGTTGCGAACCATGTATAAAGGGAGGGGGCGGAGGGGGGCGGGGTGCCTCTTAGTTTGCTTTCTGACACGGATTTGTTTCTCGTTCCTGGTTTGTGGCTTCTAGTCCCTGGTTTGTGGCTTCTGGTTCCTGGTTTGTGGCTTGGTGTCTAGTCCCTCCTGGTTTGTGGCTTCTGGTTCCTGAATTGTAGTTTCTGGTTCCTGGTTTGTGGTTTTCTGGTTCCTGGTCGGGGGTTCGTTGTTCCTCGTCTGGGGTTTCTGGTACCTGTTTTGGGGTTTCTGTGGTTTTTGAAGTCCTGGTTTGGGGTTCCTGGTTTGGGGTTCTTGGTTTGGGGTTTCGAGTTCCTGAATTGTGGTTTAAACCGCCACTACCTTTAGGCCGGTGTCCCATTGGAAAAATAACCTTATCCGGAAATTTCGGAGGCTGGACCGAACGCACGGTCGCCGTTGGTAAATTTGATCGGAGGCTGTTTTTGCGTTACCGGCCTCGAAAAATTGTGGGGCACCACCCGCGGCCTCCAAAAGTTGTGGGGCCTCGCCCGCGGCCCCAAAAATTGTGGGGCCTCCAAAATTTGTGGGACCTCACCCGTGGCGGACATATGTGAAAGGTAGTGATGGTTTAAGGGTCCTGGTTTGTGGTTTCTGGTTCCTGGTTTGTGGATTCTTGGTTCCTGCTTTTGGTTTCAGGTTTGTGGGCTGGGGTTTCTGGTTCATGGTTTGGGGTTTGTGGGTCCGGGTTTGTGGTTTCTTGTTCCTGGTTTGGGTCTCCCGGTTTTGTTTCTGGGTCCTGGATTGCGGTTTCTGGTTCTTGGTACCGGCTCGTTCATTGCAATTGGCTGTGTTTTGCTTACCTTGGTTTGCTTTTTTATACTTTTTGTCAGGGTTGCATACCCTCCGACCGACCGCCGACCCCGACCGCCAACCATTTTGCAGCCGACCAGTAGGGCCGACCGGTCGGCGGTCTGCCGACCAGTCAGAAAACAGCCATCCACTTGTTTTTTTCAAATCTGAGTTGGGGGCTGTACTGCACTTGCC